CAAATCCAAATACCCCGTGTGTGTTTTTTTCGTCGGCATGGTTTGAAAAACCGATCAGTTTTCCATGGTAAATACCGATCCCTTTTTAAGTAGAGGGTCAACACATGGGGGCAGTTCCAAGCAGAAGTTGACACTCCTTTCGTATCAGGTGTAGATTGCGACTCGAAGAAGCAGGGTCGATGTCAAAGTGGGTTGTACTCACTGTTCCTTGACTTCAGTCAACTTTTCGGAAGACCATTTGTGTGGTAAACACGAAGTGATAGTTTGTTATTTGTTGCTTTGATTTGCTTTGATTTGCTTGGCTTGGTTTGTGTTGTTTGTGTTTGTTTGCTTGCTTGTTTGCTTGCTTGCTTGGCTTGCTTGCTTGGCTTGCTTGCTTGCTTGCTGGCTTGCTTGCTTGCTTGGCTTCCTTGGCTTGGCTTGCTTGCTTGCTTGTTTGCTTGCTTGCTTGGCTTGCTTGGTTTGCTTGCTTGCTTGGCTTCCTTGGCTTGGCTTGCTTGCTTGCTTGTTTGCTTGCTTGCTTGGCTTGCTTGCTTGCTTGCTTGCTTGCTTGCTTGCTTGCTTGCTTGCTTGCTTGCTTGCTTGCTTGCTTGCTTGCTTGCTTGCTTGCTTGCTTGCTTGCTTGCTTGGCTTGCTTTCTTGCTTACTGGCTTGCTTGCTTGCTTGGCTTCCTTGGCTTGGCTTGCTTGCTTGCTTGTTTGCTTGCTTGCTTGCTTGGCTTGCTTGCTTGGCTTGCTTGCTTGCTGGCTTGCTTGGCTTGCTTGGCTTGCTTGGCTTCCTTGCTTGCTTGCTTGGCTTGCTTGGCTTGCTTGGCTTGCTTGCTTGCTTGCTTGCTTGCTTGGCTTGCTTGGTTTACTTGCTTGCTTGCTTGCTTGCTTGCTTGCTTGGCTTGCTTGCTTGGCTTCCTTGCTTGCTTGCTTGGCTTGCTTGGCTTGCTTGGCTTGCTTGCTTGCTTGCTTGCTTGCTTGCTTGCTTGCTTGCTTGCTTGCTTGCTTGGTTTACTTGCTTGCTTGCTGGCTTGCTTGCTTGCTTGCTTGCTTGCTTGCTTGGCTTGCTTGCTTGGCTTGCTTGCTTGCTTGCTGGCTTGCTTGCTTGCTTGGCTTGCTTGCTTGCTTGGCTTGCTTGCTTGCTTGCTGGCTTGCTTGGCTTGCTTGCTTGGCTTGCTTGCTTGCTTGCTGGCTTGCTTGGCTTGCTTGCTTGGCTTGCTTGCTTGGCTTCCTTGCTTGCTTGCTTGGCTTGCTTGGCTTGCTTGGCTTGCTTGCTTGCTGGCTTGCTTGCTTGCTTGGCTTGCTTGCTTGGCTTCCTTGCTTGCTTGCTTGGCTTGCTTGGCTTGCTTGGCTTGCTTGGCTTGCTGGCTTGCTTGCTTGGCTTGCTTGCTTGCTTGGCTTGCTTGCTTGCTTGTTTGCTTGCTTGGCTTCCTTGGCTTGGCTGGCTTGCTTGCTTGCTTGGCTTCCTTGGCTTGGCTTGCTTTCTTGTTTGTTTGCTTGCTTGCTTGGCTTGCTTGCTTGCTTGGCTTGCTTGCTTGCTTGCTGGCTTGCTTGGCTTGCTTGCTTGGCTTGCTTGCTTGGCTTCCTTGCTTGCTTGCTTGGCTTGCTTGGCTTGCTTGGCTTGCTTGCTTGCTGGCTTGCTTGCTTGCTTGGCTTGCTTGCTTGGCTTCCTTGCTTGCTTGCTTGGCTTGCTTGGCTTGCTTGGCTTGCTTGGCTTGCTTGCTTGCTTGCTTGCTTGGCTTGCTTGCTTGCTTGGCTTGCTTGCTTGCTTGCTAGCTGCTTGCTTGCTTGCTTGCTTGCTTGCTTGCTTGCTTGGCTTGCTTGCTTGCTTGCTTGCTTGCTTGCTTGCTTGCTTGCTTGCTTGCTTGCTTGCTTGCTTGCTTGCTGCTTGCTTGCTTGCTTGCTTGCTTGCTTGCTTGCTTGCTTGGCTTGCTTGCTTGCTTGCTTGCTTGCTTGCTTGCTTGCTTGCTTGCTTGCCTTGCTTGCTTGCTTGCTTGCTTGCTTGCTTGCTTGCTTGCTTGCTTGCTTGCTTGCTTGCTTGCTTGCTTGCTTGCTTGCTTGCTCTTGCTTGCTTGCTTGCTTGCTTGCTTGCTTGCTTGCTTGCTTGCTTGCTTGCTTGCTTGCTTGCTTGCTTGCTTGCTTGCTTGCTTGCTTGCTTGCTTGCTTGCTTGCTTGCTTGCTTGCTTGCGTGCGGAGTGCGAGTGTTTGTTGGTGCCCAGGCAATTCGCCGAATCGCCACTAGCGACCATTTCGAGGAAGGTGCTCGAAGGACAACAAAACCCTTTCGTTTTGACACATACACAGACACAGCTGAGCGTTCAGTCCATTGAGACTTGCTGCCACCCGGATGGCTCCCTCACCAGCCCTGTTAAACCAGGGTGGTCCTTTCGGCCCCTCGTTTGGAACCAGCTTGGCATAGCAAGAGGAAACTTACACCATTGGGTGGCCATTCTATCCAGGTGCTGTCAGCTGCACGAAGGCTGGGCACTGCTCACCTCCTGCATCCCAACAACCCAAAATGGTCCCCGCCAAGGGCTCCATTTTCGACACAGAGATGGGAAATGTGACCCCAAATGAGATCAAACTTCTAAGAGATGGGTTCTAGAATGCAAAGAAATCAAATTCTCCGCCCAGCGCGAACCTGTTTGGTAGAATCCATTTACCCCTGGGAGTGGCAGCTATGAAACCCGATGGACCCCCGTTTCGTTGATCGAAAGCTTTGGCCCGGTTCATCCCGGTATGAGCCAAGGGGCTCTTCAAAGCGACTGGCATAGGTCGACACCTGAGAGGAGATCCGTCATCAGGCTGTCATCATTTCTGCTCAATCGCCTTCAATGGAAACAGCAACCCGAACCTCCAATCCAAGACGAGAAACATGGCAAGCGCGAACTTGAGGGCTCCAACCAACTGGACCCCTTGAAACTCCCTTCTGTACACCGATTCGTATTGCGGAACCTGACAGAAACCATGTGGGTGCTTTGAGGAAGCCACGCGGGAAGCAACTGGCAAAGCTGGAAGCAACCTCTTGCGGACAGTGTCTAACCCAAAATCGTTTAAAAGCCGCGCTCAAGTATCTTCATGCTCAAAAGCAGGCTCTGAATTGGCCAGGAAAAGGGGGGAGCTTGCTTATATCAGATCACTTCCTGGTGCCTGGCATGCCTGGCATCTTCAAGAGGCCGATCTCATGTACAGCCCAACATATATTTCTGAAGCTCAACTCTGTGTCCCTGGCGTTTGATGCAGAACCAACCAAACCTGAGTTTGAGGGAGACGCCACGTAGACCTGGTTAAATCATCATGATTTACCGGCCCGATTTCAGGGACCCCTACAAAAGGAATCGTCATGAGCAAGGTCACAAGCCAAAACCCTTTGAACAGCGCAAGGCACTGACTGAGATTCCGAGACAATGTGTCAGTTCAGGTTGACAAGAGTTCTGACATCGAAAGATCTCAGAGTCCGGCCTCAGCTTTTCTACGAGGTTGCAAAATCGAGAATGAAAACAAAAAAGGCCCGACTGGCAGACAGCTCCTTTCTGCGGGGTCTAGAATGAAGCGCGCAACTTTGCAAACGATAAGCATCTCACCACCGGAAAACCAAAGGTCAGCACCGGGCAGCGGTACGAACCGGCCCCGCCAGGCGCCACCACGCCAGGCCTTATCAAAGAGCCAGTCGTATCGTGCAGTGATGTTCGTCATCAACTCCTGGCGACAAATGCCCACGTCTAGAAATCGAACAATCGGCACAGTTTTGCGGAGACAGGATTCACATCCTTCTAAAAACCCATCGAATTAGACCTGAAGAAAGGGGGCGTGTGTCTGAGTGTGCGTGTCTTAACATTGTGGTCTGAGGAATCATTGGGCCAATCGCGATTTGCGTTGCCAGGTTGGAGACTGACAGAAGGCATCGAGGAAAGCTGCCTATGGATCACACCACCCACTTCCGATCGAGTGGACTGGCCAAAAATCCGCATCCCAAACTTGTTCTTTACCAAATGGGATCCCCAGATTTTCCAGCCCGTGGAGCTTGGAGAGCTCTCGGCACTGTCGGCTTCCTAGGCTTCTGCTCGGGACAGCCCTGCGACGGAATGCCGGAGAGAAGCTGGCGTCGCTCCAGAAACCCCTCTTGAGGCGTGTGTCCTCTTGGGATGGCGTGCTTTGCGTTAAGCACACTGCAGAAACTCTCTCTCAGTCTTTCCAGAACAGAAGGGTACCTCATGGGGGGTGGTTTTCTGACAATCACCAAACCAAAAACAAAGACCCAACACTCTCTTCCAGAAACCCTCCGCTGCCGAGCCATAGCTGACACACCAACAGTGGCACCCAGCTGAAGTGACAACAACGCTGGATCAGCACTTCGTTGGCGCACGGGCAAACCAGCAAGAAACGATCCTGAACTGGTGCCATTCCAAGTCTCGGGCATGGTGACATCCATATCAACTCTCCCCAAGGGCCACCAAGTGCCCAAGTGCCCCACCCATCCGCCCCACCCACCACCCCATCCACACCACCCACCCCACCTCACCCCACCCCACACCACCCGGCAAGCGCAGGCCTCTCCTTATGCTTCGGATCCTGCGCCACGAGGCTGAACAAGTCCTGCTGCTGCTCCTGGGCGCCCGGGAGAGCCGATGTCTTCGGGGTCCTTTGCAGGGGGTTGGTGCCGATCTTTCGGCCGGGTTCCTCCGGTTCCTCCAGTCCCATGGAAATGGAAGTGCAAGTCTTCCATTGAAGGGGTCCGTTCGGGAGCTGGGAGAGTACCTTTTGAAGCCTGGGCTTTGAGCCTGCCAGGTTTGGCCCTCGTCCAACGGTTTCCAATCAAAAATCAGTTGAGGGAATACAACCCGGAGTGAACACGCGCCATGTTCTCCAATAGTGTCCGCAGCTGTTTTTTGGCGCATGGAACAAGTTGAAGACTTTGCCTGGATCCCGCGTCACTTACCACATGTCAACGTTACGGAATCAAGACCAAGAGTACCAAGAGAGGATCCTTCCTGGGCAAAACCGGTCAGCGAGTCCGCAAGCTAGCAAGCAAAGTGAAGCCGGCAAAGAAAAGGCCTGGACCGAAGCAACCGCAGCCCGCTTGCACCCATTAGGTGTTACCCCCTTTGGGAAAAAACCTCCGGCACCTCAAAAAAGCTCCCTGCATTTTCCCCAGCCAGAAGCTAAAAAACATCCATTCTCGGAAACTTTCAGGGACCGGTCCCCTGGGTTCCAATTATTTGCCCCCGCCATCTAGTTCTGAAATGCCTAAAAGGGGTGGGTAGGGCTCCCATAGCGTTCCCCTGGTTTTTGTTTGAAGGGTTCCTTAAAAAGTCGTAGGGTTCCTTGCCTTTCCGTAGGGAGTCGTAGGCAACCCCACCCTTGGGCCCTTGGGCCCTTGGGCCGATGGGAGATCCATCCCGTGGCCTCCAGGGGCAGCGCATCCCCCAACTCCGCCAGCGGCGCCGTGAAGGCGTTGAAGTCCTCGACCTGACCCAAAAACCCACAAGACCCCAGGAAGGACCGTTGCCCCGAGCTGGGCGGAAGGAGGAAGGGCGGGGGGAGGAAAGGCCCCGGAAAGGGTCAACTGTTGGAAACAATATCAAAAACAAACAAACAAACAAACAAACAAACAAACAAACAAACAAACAAACAAACAAACAAACAAACAGAAACAAACGAAGGACCCAAAGCACCCCAAAGGCCTTCTGCCTTCCGCCATCGGGAAAATGTCCAAGGAAGGCGGGGAAGGGGGGGAAAAGTTGAAAGGCCCCCCCTTTCGTACCAATTGGAAAGAAAATAGAAGCCCAACCTCGAGGACACCCCTCCCAAGAAATAAGTCAAATGGAAAGGGAGAAGGAGTTCTGTGTGCGTGCCCAATGGACCTGGTTTTTCATTTCAATCCTTCACACAGCCTCCAAAGCAAAGGTAGGGAAATGCATGAAGGCGTGAAGTGAACAACTAAGTGTATTGGGCACACATGCGGACATCCATGATTGGTTCCCAAGAGCAAAAAGCTTGCAATGTAAGAAAACCAGAAGAGTCAGCACATTCCAAGTTGATCAAGTGCTAACGAGCCCTTTGGCCACGCTTGGCTGGACCAGGCTGGTTGATGCACGTGGTTTGTCCGGGGTCAACTTCTGGTGCCGGTTGATCACGAGAGAGCCATGAGAATGTGAGGCCCTCCCAAAGGACTGGCAACGAAGCAGGTCTTGCGGTTGATCCGCATGCGATGGGCACGCGTTTTTGCACCAAACCAGGTAGATTGGGCTGGCAGTGAATACTCCGGGCGTCTTGGGGCTGGTATGGGATGGTCGGCAAGTCAATTCCGCAATGCCCGCAGAAACGGACAGACATAGAGTCCGAATTGTTTGCTGCCACCATTGGATGGTTAACAGCCCTTGCATCCTTGCGAGCATCCCTATTGGCGCATAGGGGTGTGGTGCCAAAAGATGATAGAATAACACAGGATTCCTGAACTACAATGGGCGAGGTTGAGTTCCCATCTCACCTTGATTTCGACTGTGGGGTTCGTCATCTTGGCCGTTCAATCGCAAAGGCTTTGCTAGGCAGTTTGCCCGGTATGTTCTCCTATGTGTATGCTGGCTTCAGAAAGCGGAAGCAAGTCAGCTTCTGAGGCCAACCAAAGATCGCATGTTTCGTTTCTGGTCCCGAATGAGCGAAAAAACTGACGCGTGTCCAGCGCGGACGGTCCACTGACCCCCGTTCAGGCACCAACCACAACAACGTGTGAGTCGCCCGTTTCGTTCATGGATGGGCCGTGTTTCATCGTCAAGAAGCCAACGGTCTCATGGATTGCTGCTCAAGGTTGGTTGCTTCGAGTCATGAAGCCGATAGCAATCCACCAGTGGCAAGGTGGCCAAAAAGTGCCTAAACTCCTCTTACCAATATTCAAGCTCTACCAGCAGGAATGAGCGTCCACCCCAAACGAAGTTGCTTTGCCCGGATTGTTTTGGAACGGCTACACCAGCGGACTCCAAAAGCAACATTGGCTGGGTTTCAGAAAGTGAAACAAAACCCGTGGAAAACAAAGGAGAAATGGCAACCATGGGAATAGCCTATTGGGCACGGGAGCACTGGCACTACAACTCAGCCTGCATGGGGCAATAGGTCAAAAGCCGACAAACTTTCTGTGAGGCCGCCCTTTTTTCTTGCCCGAGCGCCGAAAACCCATTGACTTTGGTTGGACAACTCGGTAACGCAGGGGTCTACTATATTGGCCCACACACCACTAGCATTGCATGCAAGCGGGGTCTCCCCAGAACACCAGGTATCTTCTTTTTTGGGGGTGGGGGTCGATTTTGACACATCAGGAATCCGCTCTTTGCAATCAAGCCTTATCCGCAGGAATCCCACATGAATAACCCGCTTCTGGTTCAAATCCAACCACCAAGCAGTAACAAAAAGATCTCAAAACCTCAGCGGCCCAATGGCTGGGACCCTGTTCCCTGTTCCCTGATCCCTGATCTCAAAACCTCAGGGGCCCACGAGGTCTGAATCGCTGGAAGCTTCGGTCTCCAAATTCGGGGCCAAGAAGCCCTACCTGGCCTGCAGGAAGGCGGGGCACCCGGACACCGCGCGCAGCGCGTCCCGCAGGGAGGACCTCAAAGTACCATGGAAGGCCATCTGTGGGTCGAATTTTGTTGGCCTGTTTTGCTTTGGGTTCAGGGGCAAAACGAACCACGACCTCAAGAAGTACATGGGAATGTGTTTGTGTGTGTGCTTCAGGGCGACTTTGCTTTGGCTTAAAGGGGCAACAAAACAAATCGCCAGTTTGGGGGACTCCCTATGTTTTCACATACAGCCAAAAACCGGCTTCTTTGCGAGGATCCTCGAAATCAGCTGGTTGTTCGGTGATCTTGTGGCCGCGAAAACAACCACCTCAAACGGTCTGTTTTGGGCTCCTTCAGCTTCAAAACTTGGCCAGGTTTGCCACGCAAAGTTGCCTGCTTCCCCCATTCCCTTGCAAGGGTCCATGGGCGGGGCAGGAAGGACCTGATCATACACCTGCGTACCACACCAACTCGTCTATATGTATATATATATATACTGTGTACCTACATGTACATATATACCAAAACATATATATATATATACATATATATATATATGTGTAAACATTATGCATACTGGCTGTATCCCGCCCGGCTGACACTTGGCACAGCCCTGGGTCTCGGGCTCCACTGCCTCCCAGATCTTTCGGCCCGAGGGCTTGAAGATCAGGGCGCCGGTCTGCAGGAGACACTCCACGTTGAAGTTGGGCTTCCTGACCGAGGCGTTCTTGTCGGCATCCATTCGGTTGCCCTGGTTCCGTGCCAGTAGGCAGTTTCCCCAGCAACCAGGTAAAAAGGGATCCTTACTTCTGAGAAACACACCTTCTTTTCTTTTCCGGGAGATGACATTTCATGAGGTTTTTCATAGGGAGTTTGTCCAACAACGATGTTCAGGGAGCCGTGGTCCAAGGGGCCTGTTTGCCCCACCACAATTCAAGCATCCAGCAAGATGCACGCACAAAAGAGATATACTCATTCTAACTTGGTGCTGCGGCAGTGGGTCAAAGGCACAACCCCATAAGGTCAGCAAGTCCTTCAACCAAAGTGCCAAAGTGACGCTTTTGTACAACATCTTGGGCCTTTCTTTTGATGCAATGCCAAGTGAGTCTTTCTCAAAGGGGTCCCGAAACGTTGGTTCCTCTTGGTCTCCCTTGAAACCAACCTCAAAAGAGTACCGAGCATCAAAAGTGACACACCCAAATACCCAAATAGGAGTGCCTTGTGGCAACGGCTTCCCTTGAATCCCCCCTGAACTACCAACAAAAAGGGGTGTTGAAGAACCATTTTAAGAACCTCCCAACTCCCCTCTTTCAGCCATACCACAGCGGCTGTCCTACCATGTTCCACCCCGAAATCGTGGGGACTGGAAGATCCCGAAAACCGTTTCCTGCCCGTCTGCCCGCCCGAGGCTGGCCTCGTGCTCTTCGACTCTTCTTTCTTTTCCTTACCATCCGACAGCATGTGCCGCCCGCCCCCATTTAATTTGGGGACCGCTGGCGCAAAGTGGAAAATGCATGGGGCACGCTTCAACACACAAAACGAATCAGACAAGTCGATATTTTGAGTGGGCTACAGCTTGACTGCAGGTACCTGGCACAGGTAAAAGTGTCAAAACAGCGAAAGAGGACTTGTGGCGGGAGCCTGTTCGTTTCTTTTCCCGCGGCACCCCATACCTTCGCACCTTCCACGAAAAGCGTGCCTGATCCAAAGAAATCAGCTGGCTGACCCAATTGCGACCAATCAGTACGGAAGCTCCCGAGGAAGAATCACAGCCTTGTTTAGGCGAAACATGGCAAGCGGAACTACACCACAATGCGCAACCACCACTCAGAAGAAAAACCCTGATTGTGATTTCCCCCCCCCACCCCCCACCCCCCACCCCAAAATGTGGGAAACACATACTATGAACAAATCATCGGAGACTCGAACAGTATCTGCATTGCAACGCGAATGTCATGCTCCACAACTCACACTGCATTGCGATTGACACAAAAGTGGGTTAGCAACAAAACAACATGGAACCTTCCAAGACGAGCCTCCCCCCCTACATCCGCCTCGGTTTTCTCTACGGCTTCCAGCGCCAAGACCTCAGTCGCTACGAGCATCAAGCATCACTTTGAGGCCGCACCCACAAGGTTTTTGGAACCTTTTCAGGGCTCTTGCAAGGGTTCTTAGCCTCCTTAGAACTTTTCTGGGGAGACTCAACCTCAGTTCCCGAGTGCAAATGATGGCAAGACTAACCTAGATCCTCACGTGGTTGCCAACCACCCCAAACCGGTTCACTTTTATGTTCTCTATCTCCAATGCCTTGGCTTCGTCTTTGGAAATCAATGGCCTGGGCAAATCATGAGTCGCCAACCTAATATGGGTTGCTCCTGAATGGGGAGTCAATGATCACGGGGGTGAACCACTTTCTACAATTCCACCAGAATGTCGGCCTTCCTGAACCAAGCTGATTCGACGTGCGGTTGGCAGCAAAACGGCATCGGATGGATCGGCCCTCTGGTTGCCAATGAGATCCGGTGAGGAAAAACTCCGGCTCGAGTGGACACAAGACTGGAACGTTAACGCCATGTCTTCCGCACCGCAGACTGAGCAACGGATTGGTAGTTGCTCGAAGGAATCTTACCAACTCCACGGGGAAGAAGTCAGCAAGGTCATGAAATGAAACGCGCCTGCCGGTCATGAAGAGCCTGTTTTTGGTACGTCTATGACTATGACCCTCCAAAGATCCTTGCCTTGCGGCAGCTTTGCCGTGCGCCTCCATAGACAATGAGGCACATGCCCAATGTGTGTGTGTGTGTGTGGCTGCGTGCTTCCTGTAAGGCTACCGTTCCTGGGTTGGATTTAAGGAATCCGAAAGGAAGATCATTCTTTTGAGGGTACCCCTTTTTGACAAAGACATTTCGCGTAATATAAAAAAGCCACAGCCTCTCCCTGTCTGCCTATATGATTTCGGGGGCCGGAGTCCCATCTCAAATCCTTCTCACCAAGTTTTCGCAAAAGTGAATGTTACACTTTGAACCAGATCATAGAATTAACATGGAAGCCGCTGACAAGAGCGCCAAGGCCGAGTCCTCCTCTCCAAAACGGGGTCACACGTCAATTCACCAGTGGCCCGCCACCTTCCGGTTTTTCCCCTTGCCGTTCCCCCCCCCCACCTCCTGAGCCTGAACGTCTTCCACAAAGTTCTGCGAGCGCGGGAAAGGGACCGAGCCCAATCCCCGATCTCTTTGGCCCGAGTGGAATCCACTTGGCTCACTCCAGAACAAATGGCCCATCGCGAATAAATGCGAATAGAGATCCGCTCGAAGGTATGGAATGTGAACTCTGAATAATATCGTGGCGACATCCTCTGATCAGAGGCTGCCAAATCTACCACCATCTACCACCGCTCCCCCCGCGGAAGTGTTTTCCTGCTCTGGAGCAAGAATCACGAACAAGGAATGAGCATCCGTCAGTGTCAGTCCAGTCTCAATGTGTGCTTCAGGGAGTACATTTCTGAAGAAGAGGAATCTCATGTATCAACGTGCTTCTGATACGGTTTTGCACATTATTGGTGCACCCTACACCAAAGATAGTGTGATACCAAGACGGGCCATCCCTGACGTTGCATGTATCGGGAATTCCCTTGGTATTACAACAAAATCGCCCCACAACCCAGTTCTCAACCATGCACCTGAAACCGACTCTTTTCCAACCATCTCTGCGCTTCGTGCACTTAACTTCACTTCTTGAGTATTGGCCTTAAAACAGTAACCTGTTGTTTGCCACCAAATGGTCCAGGCCCAAAAAAAACGAAAATCCAGGGACTCAGGAAGTGAGTAAAAGCCTGGCCGACCTCCTTTTGAGGTCCTGTCCATGCCCGCTTTGGGGAGGCTCCATCTTTGGTGCAAGTCTGCGCGCTGTACTATCTTTGGTCCCGTCATAGGGCCAAAATGCCAGCCCAACGCATGGCGGAAAATGCGCCTCTACGTTTGCACAGCCGGGTTCTGGAACAGAAGCGGCCTAAACGCTGCCTCCACTGATGTCTGCTCTCACTGCTCAAGCGCAAGTTAGCTTTCTCCCCTGTTCGCGCAAGCTTGCAACAACTGCGTATCAACGTAGGGAGCCCACCTGGATTTGTCTGAAAACCAGGGATTCTCAAAATGGCTCTCCTTTTGGCTTCCCTTCAAACCAAACCAAAACCAGCTTACCCCAAAAGGAACCGAAACGGCCCCACATGGGCTACTCCACGGACACGTAGATGCCCTGGTACTCCAAGCTCCGCAGCGCCCAAGCCTACGGGCGGAGCTGGGGGAAATGAAAGCGAAGATCATGTGTGCGCGCGAGCGTGTGTGAGCTGTCTAGCTATCTATCTATCTACCTAGCCATCTAGCTGTCTGTATATCTATCTATCGATCTATCGATCTATCGATCTATCGATCTATCTATCTATCTATCTGTCTATCTAATCTATCTCCTTCTTTATCTCTCTGTCTGTCTGCCTGCTTTCTGCCTGGCTGTCTGTTTCTGGCTGTCTGTCTGTCTGTCTGTCTGCCTGCCTGCCTGCCTCTGTCTGTCTGTCTGTCTGTCTGTCCATCTATGCATCCATCGATCTATCTATCTGTTTATCTATCTCTCTGTCTGCCTGCCTGCCTGCCTGCCTGCCTGCCTGCCTGCCTGCCTGCCTGCCTGCCTGCCTGCCTGCCTGCCTGCCTGCCTGCCTGCCTGACTGTCTGTGTGTAGGGCTGTCCATCCACCGTTCTATCTATCCATCGATGGATCGATCTATCGATGTATCGGGATCGATCAATGCATATTTGTATGTATATATCGACATATGTTACATTTGTTCATGTCTTTTGCACGTATGTGTCAATGACATGCCATGCAATGCCATGCCATGCAATGCAAAGCAATTGAATGCAATGCAGTGCAATGCAATGCAATTAATGAAATGGAATGGAATATGATGTGACGTGGCGTGGTGGGGTGTGATGTGATGTGATGTGGTGTGATGTGATGTGATGCGAATCAACGTCAAGTCATGTAATGTCATGTTCATGTCCAGTGAGGTGGCACAAGGTGGTGTGATGTGATGTGATGTACTGCAATGCAATGCAATCTAATGTAGTTTAATGTACTAGTACTGTAGTCCAAGGTAAGGTATGCGCGAACGTACCCGTATACGGAGAGGAAAAGAGAGGGAGAGAGTGAGAGAGAAAAACATGACCCCCACTAAACCAGAGAAAACATGCGCAAAGATTCCTTCCATGTTGAGACAAGCCAAGTGCTCCACAATGTACCTGCAGAGACATTGAATCCTACTCGTCCCGGGAAAACCATGAACCATGAACCCCATGATTATACCAGTCACCCGCATTGTAGAAGGGAAACATCCTGTGACTTATATTGATGGTGGACCCTGGTGCGGACATCATTTACATGGGGGGTTTGGTTCGCTCGGGTCTTTGGGGAAGGCAATTCGTTTTAGGAGGGGTGGGATCCTATGCTTAAAATCTGGCCGTGTCCACGGGTCACCTACAGAACCTGGGGGCGGGACTACCAGCAGACAGGTACCACAACCATCACTGCCACTGCCGCAGGAACAAGCACTACTTCTCGGGAGGGGGGTAAAAGGTGGGTTTTGTGGTTTGGGAAAATGAAGAACTGGGTTTGGCCCGATGCCGATACCCTCCCTCCAAAGGAAAGTAGCGTTCCAGAACTTACGATCGTCAGCAGAACTATCGGGGTAGCTTGGGGGTTTGAAATTCAACCCACCCTTAAAAAAATGTTCGGGCTACTCTAACCACCATTGCTTGCCCTTCAGGATTGTCATCATCTATATAAATTGGGTCGGGGTGGAACCCTAGAGTTGACAACCCCTGGTTCAGCAATCGGGGAGCGTCGAATTTTGGGGACCATCCGGATCACTTGGGTGACACTAGTCTCACTTCCTGAGTGGATCGGCCAAACAAAGTCTGAACTGCTTATTTACCGCTCAAATGGTCTTCCTAAGTTAAAAGTCCATGAACCCAGGAAGGCCTTGGCTTGGTGGTTTCGTGGTGAAGAAGGGGGTTCCCATTTACCCTCTACAAGAACCAGGGCTTCAAATCCAAATCCAAACCACCAATCCAAACTGTGGATGGACGAAATCCTGCACCACTTGGAAACCATGGTTGAAGCCATTGGTTGTTGGTATTTACAGGGGGAATCGAAACATTCCAGGGCTTCCAGGGTTTCTTAGGTGGTGCCTAAGAGGATCTCGCAACCATCCACAGAACCTGTTTAGGGTTGCCTCATTCGTTGGCTCAAAACGAAACGTCGCCTCCGGCACCTTCCGCCGGAAGCTTTTCCCCAGAGCCAGCTTCCGCAGCTTGGGGAACCTCGCCACAGCCTGACGCGCAACCAAAGCACCCGGCAGGGATCGGGCCCCTTTAAAGGGAAACCCAGAGAGGTTGTCTTTACAACCCAAATGGTATGGCTAGCAAAAAGGAGTTTATTTTGCAGCCTACTCAAAATGAAGAGAACCAACAACCCAAAAACAGAGTGCCAAAACAACAGTGACCACGGGTTGTGGGGATTGAAGAACCAACAAGTTGCTTAAAGCAAACCCAACAGGTCCCGCCTTTTTGAGGATCGACAAGCAAGAGCTCCCACCCCCAAAGAAACATGTTCAATCGGTGGGCTTTTTGCAATGCGACAAGTTCACTCGCCCAACCCTGGCCGTAGTAACTATGTTTTATGATACCAAAATCAGGATTCCATTCCCACCACCACTTTTTTTTAGCACACACATGGGCCTGACTTTTAATTTCGGGGACCCTTTGGCGGACATCATTTAGGTGGTGACTCATATCCACCAACCACTGTTGAGGTGGTTTCCTATTCATATTCATCGCCAAATTCAGAGGGCTCCCTTCTCATGGCCAGTGGCCGCCTCTGCCAGGGGCTGATCGAAGGCGTCCCCGAGCACCAAGCTCTGCAAGGCGGCCAGTTCCGCCTGAACAGAGAGGACCTTTCTCACGCCATGTTGGTCCGCAAATTTTAGGATATCTCCAAACCTGAAAATAAACCGGCCAACCACACAAGTCAGGTACTGGACATATACAATCCATACATAATCTGCGAACCAGCACACAAAAAACGGAAAGAGGGGGCTTTCTGAGTATTTGCAGCATCTCCAGCATCTCCAGCATCTCCAGCATCCCCAGCCAGCATCTCCAGCATCCCCGGCATCAGCTCAGCATTAGCTCTGCAAATTCTACTGCTTTCCGCTTGGCGTAGGCAACATGTCAGGATTCCCGAACATCCTTTTCAGAATAAGGCTGATACTCAAAAAGTATGGACTTTTTGCATAAATACGCCTCTGGGCAAGGGCATCATGAACCTACTCGGCTTGAGGGTCTTATTTGCTTTCTGTTTATTAGTGGAAATGCAGCGACTTTCTGGAGACAATGTCACAAGATGCAGTGGAAGCTGAGAATGCCTTTGGAATTGAATTGATTCGTTTGTGCTTTCCTTCAGTGAGGCCCCTTGCAAGATCTTCAAACGGAAAAAGAATTGTTCGGTCTTGGTTCGCGTTGTTGTGTGTGAGCCTTCTCCTCTTGGCTGACGCTCCGCTGGAAGAGCAACTTCAATGTGCTTATAACTTGTTTCGGAATCGACTCTTGGAATGCTAGCCCCATTTGTTAGTTAAGCTCACTAAGCTGCAGCTTATTCAGACTCTAGGCTTTCATATAGCAGCGTATCTGCTCCGCTGTGGCTAGGCGGGTTTTCCTACACGGGTGGAGCGTGCGCAAAGGGGCTCTTGATGCGCCTCATACTTTTGGTGGATGGATGCAAAGTTCCTGACGACGAACTGATCATTGAACAGAGTGATGCTCAATTGAGCATGATACCGAGGCCGAGGGTATGAAATAAACGTATTCTTCCTGCTTTGTTGCATTTACTGGATAATGGAACAACTGTGTTTCTTCTTTCGGGGCCAAAGTGCCTTGATCTTCTCACGCTCGATAAACTTGGCATCCGCTCCCGCTAGCAACGCCCAAAACCCCCATTGGTCAATTTTAGTAGGTGGTTCTACTACCTGGTCATATCGTGGTTATGGCAAGGTTTATATATGCCTTATGCCATGCTGGTGGAAGCAAACGTCATCGGGTTTTGTGTGTTGCTCATTTGGGTTCTACCAAGGTGGTTATGAAGGTTTATATCGCTATGATTCCTCTTTTTGGCAAGGGGAAACAAGGAGACCGTTGCCATTGTTGGTCCCGTTTGATTGAGGCCATGGCGCGCTGTAATCCTGAAACCAAGAAACCAAGCAGTAGAACCACCTGCTAAAACTCTCAATCGGAGTTTTTGGCACTGTTCAAATGGTTTCACCACCCCAAGGGGGAAAGGCGGATTACAAATGCCCTTTGCAGTATATGGTGTCTATATTGGATGAAAGCGGTTGTACATCCCATGGAATCCCGCGGGGGGTGATTTCGGAAGGGTAGTGGAAACTATCTTAAGATCTGACACGCCTGCCGAGGGCCTCCAATTGGCCGGCTTATGGGCGCCCTCAAGAAAGACAAACCCACGGTGCTCGGGCTCAAGTCGGGGTTGTCTTTGCAAGGTATCTTTCTGGGGTTGGTTGAAAGGGAAACCAAGAAAACCACTTGTGGGGTCCCTCACAAAAAGGCACGCCTAATTGTAGAGCCTTCAAAGGATCCTCATCTTTTGGTTTTGAAACTGAAAAACTCTCATCGAATCGGCGCCAGTGTTTCCGCAGACTGAGGGTATGTGCCTTGAAAAACCATCTCACATCTGACTGGGAAATGAAGGGTTGATAGACAAGAAAATGTCGCGAACCTATTCTAGTCTCATAGTCGACAGGAGTCAAGCCGGAAACTGCGCAGAGACGCCAAAGATACAATATGGTGGATATGGTTTGGCCGCAAACACTGCGTTGATCACACGTTGATTTTTCAACCTGGATTAGCCCAACCTCTCAAATCATTCCTGTTGAAGGGCCTATCCTATGGCAGTTTGCAGGTGGTGTGGGGCTTTCCCAACTCGTACAGGGAATCAAAAGTGAGCCGATGCAGCTTTCTTGGACATGGCTGTCCTGACACTCCAGGTCTCAAGGCTCGTCTGGGTACGTGGGAAAAATTGGGGCCATCTTGCACCCTCTGACGCTTCAAGGAGTCCTGAGCTATCAAATACGGTAACTCTCGCTGGACATTGACAAGACAACACTCGGGCTACACCGAAGGCCATGCCAAAAGAAAGGTCGGGGAAAGATCAGCTTCCGGCCAAAACAAAACCGGTGAAACCAAAGTGTCGAGGCAAATATAGCGAGTCGCAAAAGGTCCTAACCGCGACAACCAACACGGAGCTCCAGGCTTGAGCGTTGCTTGCGGTTCCTCTGAGTTTAGAAGAAGCACTAACAAAAAAAAGTACCCCCACCAATGAAGGAACAACCGAATGTTGTTATTTGCTTATACTTGTTCAATATATACATGTATATATATATACACATACATACATGTATATGAGAGAAAGCCAACAACAAGCATACACAACTAAAACAACCCAAATAAATAAAAAGAACTCGTTGCGCCACTCGCGCAGTTCTCTGGGTTCCACGCCCCAAGCCTGGGCCAAGCTTTGGTCGAACATCTCGCCCAGCACCAAGTGCTCCAGGCACGGCAGTACCACCTAATGGGAGGGAAATGAGGGAATGAAACCAAAGGCAAATGAGGAAACGAGGGAATGCGAAATGAGGAAATGAGGGAATGAGGAAATGAGGAAATGAGGAAATGAGGGAATGCGGGACATGGCTTTGGTCCCCTCAAAGGAAACCACCGGTTGGATGGTTCGAGACCTCGGGCCCTGCCATTTCTCATTCCCTGCAACTCTCGCACCGATCGCAAGTTGCAAAAGTGCAGCTTCACGGGGCGAATTGGATGGCTGTGGCTCAAAATGCTCAACAGCTGAGGCAAACCGCAGGTCCGCAGGTTGTGGACTTTGTTCCGTAGGCCAGTTTACCATAGGGACCCTTGGACATTCGACTTCGGTGGGATGTCCACGGTTGAGGTTTCCCCTTTTAAAAAATCCAACCCCTATAGGTGCTTCTCAAACTAGGAATCGGTGTCCCTGGATGCGGGAAAATCCAAGGGGAACCAACCACCTAAAAGAATTGGCCCCTTATTTTCAGAAACACCCATATTGATGACGAGTTGCATGGGTTCTAACAAATAGAATCCTTTCAGATGCTACGCACATTGTCCTTCGAAGCAAGCGATCGGAACCAATTAGAAACCGTTTGGGTGAGATTACGCAAAACATGTTTGGCTGGGTTAAGAATGATGACTCAATTAGCTATCTTAGTGAAATGATCAAGGAATTTCAATGGCAGAAGAAGTTACTCTGAGCTTGGATAAGAATACCAGCTGAAATCCATAGAGCCTGGAGCTGAATCAGCCAGCTGACGCCAACAGGAATGACCTGCAGTCTCATTTTGATGGCTCACCGACCAGGGCAGCTTGGGCTCGTCTGGAGTTGGGGGTTCGAAAGAAAATATACTTTCTATGGCGCCCACAAATGAACACCCGGCTTTTTAAATCGGTCAACTCGCAGTTGATACGCCCTCCGGCCCGGCCCGGTCAGCGCACGGCCGTACATGCGCTGCAAACAAACTGGTTACATGGGAAGGATACAATCTTTTTGTGAGGGTACCACTTTTTGGATGGTTTAAAAAGGAAACCACAAGAAAATCTAGCATTTTTGGGAGTAAAACGACACGCCCATACACTACCTCTGATGCATTCCAGCCTCTTTTGCCCGCCCTCATAGTCACCGCAGTGGTTGCTTCACTTCAACAGGTGTCACTAGACGTCAAGGGGACGAAAGTGTTTCCCTCTTGAAACTGTGTAATAAACAGCAACAGCAGGTCAAGTTGGCCATACTCATGGTTGCGCTTTGTGCAGGCAGGCGCGGCATTGTCAACTTTCGCGCAGTTGTAAGTTATAATATTGTAAAGGCTTGCAGGTGGCCCCGGAGGTGCTCTTTCACTTGCAGGATCCCCGGGAGAAAGTGTGTGAAGATGTGGTTTGCCAACTCAAGAGGGCATGTTGTTTTTATCCTGGTTGTGTAATGCCCACCCAAACAATGCACTATTTGATGGCCACAACACTGCAAAGTCTGATCCTGCCAAAAATAAAGGACAGAAAAGCACCCAATCGAATGCATTCCCAACTCTACTCGTGTGTCTGCAACGGGGAAGCCAAACGGTTTTAGGAGTTCCCCCACCCCCACCCCTTTTCATTTTGCGGCTGAGCCATCTTTGACCACCGAATGCAAAAAAAGAAAACGGACGGCCGCTGGAGTCCCATGGACCCGGCCTGCAGAGGCTGGTTGAAGTCCGCGCCGAAGCTCAAGGATTGCAATTTGGGCAGAGCGACCCCGTCCAGTGGCTGGTTCCAGTGCCGGCCCAGCGTCAGGCACAGCAGGCCTGGCCAAAGCGGGCGGAAAGCAGCTGGTATGGCTTGTTGGTCTGATCTGTTTGGCCCAGCAGAATGGTTCTGAGATACGTTGCGAATCTCACGGTTTGGCGTCATCTTCTTGGGGTGAGTTGCCACTTTAGCTTTGGTCCAGGGTGAATATAGATTCGGAAGCTTCGTGAATGATCCAGGGGAGATGAAATGGCTGTGCCAAGTTGTCTGTCGAGGGCCAGCTGATTTTAGATCAGACTCAGGAAAAATCTAACCGGTCAAGAGAGGCAAAATCGAAGCCTGGAAGGACTCAAAAGAACCCTATTCGCCCTTTTTTGCGGCCTTATTTGCTAAAATCGCCCCTATTTGGAGTGGGGAATCGGCCGTGAGAACCCAGGTCCATGACCTTGTTGGCCACTGGGTTTGGGTTGGAATTTGGGCGGGTCTACTGAAGTTGTTTTCCTGGTACCAATGTCTAGTTGGCCATTCTTTCATATTGATTCTTGATTTGAACCTTGATGCCTGAAGTCCTTTCGTTCCCCGGTGTTGAATGCTTTGCGTCTTCCGGCCAGGGAGCAACCGAGGTCAGGAACCTTTGTGCTGACACAGACTAGAACCGGATAGGTTGTGTGGACGATGCTTCAAAAACCTCAGAATTTGAGGAGAAAAAGGGTCGTTTTTCCTCATCGCCCATTTTGCTTTCTTAAAGGAAAAAGCGAAGGAACCCGAGGGCCCATGGGCCAATGAGCCTTCGTTCAGTCCGGCAACCTTTGGTGGACTTGGACTCCTCCGAGGTCATGGCATCCTTGGGAATCAGATGATTTAATGGTGCCGGATTTCGTCCATCCACAGTCCCCTAGCCCCAAGTAAATCAGCTTTGTTCTGATTGGTGGTTTGAAGCCCGGTGGTTTGGTGGTTGAGGAAGGGCTTCCCAATACAACCCTCTACAAATGCCAGGGACCCCTTCAAATCCAAATCAAATCCAAATCAAATCCAAATCC